TTTTTGAAACACACAGAGTGCCTTAGTGGTATTTTAAGAATTTATTTAATTTTTGCTTTATCATATGTTTCAAGTCTATGAAGCATATTCTAAAGCAATAATCATAACAAATAAAGTACACTTTCTTGCATAACATTTTTGTTGAAGTCAGTTTTAAGTAAGATATGTTCCTCAACATTCCAGGCAAGAGAGTGCAAAAAATACATTAAAATGAAACTTTCCTTTTTCACTTCAGCTCCTTTCTTTGATTGAGAGGTTATGAATATATCTTGCCTCTTTTCACAAGTGAAAATGTGTTTAAAGGCAATTAATCTACCCTATTAACTAAACATCTGCTATATTTGTTAAACACTTCAAAATTATGTCCTGAACCAGTTAATTCTAAATAATTTCCCAGTGAAATACTTGCATGAGCTTCTAGAATGATAAGCTCTAGCCTATCTTAAATGATCAGCAGATTGTCTGGAGAGGGATGTGAGAAGGGGCACTCTGTGACAGCTATCCACTGGAACTTACGTGATGTAGCAGGATTGGACTGTTTTTGCATATTTTTATCCTAGCCTAAAGAGGTAACAGCCTCATGAATTCCATTATTGGTCAACATTTTTATTGTCCAGAATTGCACTTTAAAAAAATGCCTGATAGACATATGCAGATGTTCACATTGTGACTATCCTAAATATGTTCTCAAGTTTCTATTTCCAAAAAGCAATAAATCTTTGTCCTTGTGGACTTTTAGGAATAACCCAATTTACTGTTCTTTTCATAGTGGACTAAGTAGATGGAAAAAGTAGGGGGGAAATGGATAGGCATTAATCTTTGGGCCACTGTATCAAAGAAGAAAATATGCAAATACGCCATGTACACAAAGTTACTAAGATAAGATTCTCTAACTAGAGAAAAATGATATAAATTTGTTAAATCTCAAGTAGTAGTCAAATATTTAAATAAGTTCCATAATAGAGATGATGTCATAGATGGTAAATGATAATTCTTAAATGAACTATTAGGCTGTTTTACTCTTAGTTATTAGAGAATGGAATGATCACTCTGTATGAGGAATAACGACGAGACTGAAAGCTTTGCAATGTGGTATTTAAGTCATTTGGAAATGAATATAACTATATGTGCAGCAGAAACCTGTTTCCCTCCACCACCACCACCCAGTAATATTCTATCTCAATGTTTTCTTTCTTATGACTCAACTTACTAAGTGTTTACTGAATCTCTTCTATGTGTGATAGAAGATATAAAAACATAATCCTCTGTCCTCTAGGAAGGGGGTGAGGGAAGTAGAAGAGAGTATGGGGGGATAATAGAGACTCAACTTGGGGAGGTGAACACACAATACTATATACAGGTGATGTGTTATAGAACTGTATACCTTAAACCTATATAATTTTATTAACCAATGTCACCCCAATAAATTCCATTAAAATAAGTAAATAAATAATTCTCTCTGCCCTCTAGAATGCATAGTTAATTAAGAGAACAAGTTAAATACATACATAAAGGCATTTACAAGACCAGAGCAAGAATGAATTGTAGGAAGGGTTCTGAGACAAATGCTGAACTCTACCCAAATTTAAATAAGCTGGAGTCTCCATATATCTATAATTTTCATAGTAAGTGATAAATAAGGCCATTCTTAGACGTTACTAAATGCGGGGAGTAATGAGCTTGATAACTTAAATAATAAACCATGACCAAATTTTAATTTTTTGTGATTCTTTAAAATATGATTTTTTTACAGTTGGTTGATCTGTGTTTTACTAATGACAATATTGATATCATTTTTCTTTGTAAATTTCAAATAATATTTATAAAGCGCAGCTCAAAAATATTCTGAACATTAATGTAATGTGGCTAGGATTAAAGATTGGTCATGAATAATTCAAATAGTGAATTATCCATTGGAGATTAAAAAGAATTTTATAATTTTTCATGAAATTCTTAACTGGCTCCTAGACTTGGCAAAGGTTAAGGGTGGAAGGAGGATTCAGAATCATGAAGATCCAAGAGGCATATAGTGGGTTATGTATGTGAGTGTACCTTATCTTACTATTTGGACAATGCTCCCAAAGGGTTCTTATAAATATTTTTTCTAATCCATTGAATAATTTTAACTCAATTTAAATATTTTTGCATTATGTAGGCTTTTGTTATATAACTTCTCCAAAAATAAAGGAAGTGGAATTTTTATTATATGTGGTCAGAATTCATTGTACTCCCTTGATGAATGTTTGGTGTGTGTATGTTTTAGTAGCTTATGTTTAAAAACACTGCAAGAGCTGTCAGCATTTGTATGTATGTCAAAATGTTATATATAAGTTTGACTACTCATGAAATGATAATAGTCCCTAAGAGTAAAAGGGAAGCATTTCATCTAGAGCCAAGATTGTGTCAACCTTATAAATAATGGCACAATTCCCTGTAATTACATTGTAATTAATGTTTAGTATATTGGTTTCAACATTTGTTTTCTTATACACATTAGGAATTTACCAACCTTAAGTTGGCCTAATTAGCCAACTTTTCTTGTTTATATAACATTTGGCAGGTGTTTTGATAGCAACAAACAGAACTGATCACTTTTTTTATTCCCAGGTTTTTATTTCTGCCTAAATCAATAAAACAAAGGCTTCACATGTCCCTGTAATATTAAATTTTTCCAAAAGTAGATAAAATAAATGAAAATTATAAATGCCTACACTTTAGTGTTTTGTGGAGGAGTCAAAAAGATTTGAGAGGGACACTGAGGATTGGTGATACATTCAAATTTTTGTACTAATGTTTTTGGAAAATTCGTTTTAATAATTTATACTAAACTCTGACAACTTTAGTCAAATGAAACCTCTCTGGAAAAAAAAAAAAAAACTTAAAATGTTTATAACTTCATTCAAAGTAAAATTATGCATGTTATGACATCATGAAAATTTAGTTTCTATGAAAAAAGAAAAAATTGAATATATACATGATAAATAATTATAGGTCATCACAAGCAAATCTGATGTTTTGGTTTAAAGGAAGCCATGACTCTTTTTTCTCTTTTTTTTTTATCCTCACCTGAGGACATTTTTTCATTTTTTGTTCAGATAGAGTGGGCGGGAGACAGAGGAAGAGAGAGAAACATTGACGTGAAAGGGACACATCGAGTGGCTGCCACCCGCACAACCCAACCAGGGCCGGGGACAAACTGCAACTGAGATACATGCCCTTAGTGGGAACCGAACCCCGGTCTCTCTGGACCGCAGACCAACACTCTAACCGCTGAGCCAAATGGGCCAGGGCAGGAAGCCATGACTTTTAAACAAAAAAGTTATATTATGAAAAATAAATCCTAATTATTTTAAAATTGGGTGGCAAAAGACTGTTTCTTCTGAAATGAAGGTGATTTCAGGTTTGTTTAAATATGTATTACTAGACTTTTATTTCAAGCCATTTAATATATGGTCAGTTAATCATAAATATTTACAAAATCCTTTGAAAATTGCAGTCTTTACCCAAAAGCTTTTATTAGAGTTAGTTGATTTCCTTATATGATTTTTTTCTTACTCAGACATTAATAGGTACATGCCATGATAAATAAAACACAGATTCAACTGTTGTCCTTAGAGCTTTGTGAAAGAAACAAATCACTAAATGAATACTCATTTAAATGAATTTGTGATTAGTACCTAAAAGGACAAACATAAGGCACTATGAGACTGTGAAACAGGCATCCATTTCTTCATGTGGAAAGTCAGGGAAGGTCAAGCTGAGTTTTCTTCAGGTTTGTTTGGCTGAGACGTAGAGAATGGTGGAGTCTGTGTCTGGGGTCAACTAGGGAGCTTTTGTAGATGAGCAAGGGGGAAGTGATGATGGGCGCATTGGGAATGGGAATACATCGATCCGAATATACTGTGGAGATGCATTAAAAGGACTTGGTCACTGGATGTGAAAAGATATTTGAGACAGAAAAGTATGGAGGACGAGTTCTGGGTTTCTGGCATTAGCACCAAGAGGATGTTTGGATTTACTGAGTTGAGGGATGCTGGCAGAGGATCTAGTTTTGGAGAGAGGGTCCTAAGTTTGCTGTTTGACATGGCTAAATTTCGAATGCCCATGAGATAGAGGAGTGGGTATGGTCAAGAGGCAGTTGGATATGTGTATCTTCAGCTCAGAAAATAAACGGGGGTCATAAATCTTAGAATTATTGGCCTAGAGAATTCAAAGCCCTCTGGTGAGAGAATGCGGACTGAGAAGAGCCTGCATTTACAGGTTGAATAGGGAAAGAGGAAGACCAGGAGAGACTAAGAAAAAGCTTTCAGAGAAGTAACAAGTTAGTAATAATTGGTGAAGATTTTCTAAAACCAGCAGTATCATCATTTTTAGTGTCATCGTGAATGGGAATTCCTGTGCAATAGTAACTGTCTGTAAGAATCAGGAGCTTTGACTTCCAGATTACCAACACCGGGGATGTCTTGGGTTTGTTTGTTTGTTTTTTTCTGAACAAATGATTATTTTCCCTATCACTTGACAATAGTATAAGAAAGTATCAAATAATGCCTATGATACTAAAAATTAAATGTTACGAAAAGACATATGACATTGAATCCAATGTCATAGCCATGTGTTTTCTTAGTGATACTTATAGAGCTACTCTCAACTGAAAATATAGTGGTATTTATACAGTTTAAATATAGAATTCTGCTTGCAAATGTTAGCTTGGTGAAACGTGGTTCTGATCACATGGGTTCTTCCCCGGGAGTGAACACTGGGCCTCACACCTGGTTTGGAGTCGCCTTTTTCCCTTTTCTGGGGTTAACTATAAAAAGGAACCAGTCAGAGAAGGACAATTCATCATTATTAATATATTACATAGTCTAACCTTGAAAGAGCTCAAATCTCTTTCAAAGTTTTGTTTAAACAGTAAAGTGGGTATTAATTTTCACAACATTCTTTGTGAGGCAGGTGTACATGAAACAGTCTATTAACATGTGTCTTTTTTCTTCTCATAGGGTTCCCTGGGAATTCAAGGCCCCCAAGGTCCACCTGGAAAAGAAGGTCAGAGGGTAAGTAAACTTGGAACAACTGGCAGGCATGACTAACTCAGAGGTTACTTATTTCTGAACACTGATAGAAATAAACCCAAAATATAGCAAGCTGAGAAGCATAAGGAAAGTATCAACTATCTGAAGGCTGAAATTTGAGATTTAAGATTTTGAGAGCGACAATCCAGAAAATTCTATATTTTTTCAGGATTGGCATCACAAATGTAGAAATATAATTTGGGTAAAAGGACTTAACCGTAATTTGATTGGAAGCATATTTGCTCATCTGTTGGGTATTGAGTTAAGCTGATTTTTGCAGTTAAGTTGATGAGTTTCTTTATGGAATTCCAGCCTGTCTGTGAATTCTGTAAAGATTGTGGGTATTAACTACATTCTTTAACCAAATTAAATTATTGACATTAGTGACTCTTTGTAACTTTCCTGTCATTACTATTTACTGCCTTTGAGATAAACTGTATACAAAGTAAAGAGATTGAACTTGCGATTGGGAGTATAGCAATCACCTTCTATCTCTAGTCCAGGTAGTCTCATTGTCCCCCAATAAAAAGTATCCCTGCAGTGATAATCAATCAGCTTCACCTGAACACTTCTAGCAATAGGGCACCCATTCTTGTGGCTTATTGTTATTATTACTATTTTCAGATCATTTTTAAATCTCAAAATATGAATGTATGCCTTCTCATATGATTATTATTAATTTCTGTGACCTGACAGGTGAGGTTTCTGTGACTCAGAGAGTTTAGGTGACTTGCCTAAAATCAAAGAACTGATAAAAGTAGAACCAGGACTTGAATTTGGGGCTTCTGACTCTTGGTCCCATATTCTCTTATACTGTCCCAGTATATTAACCCCAGATCTGTCTTTTAGTCATTTTTCTTTATTATTCCCCGTTCTTCCCTCTGGCAAATAAGTGTGTTGCCTCAAATATATCAGAGTTCTCAAATACTTGAGGACCAATAGTATATTTTACCAAGGTTTATCTCTTATCAAGTTAATAAAATTCCAATTCTCTTAACTCTTTTGTTTAACCATATGATTTCTTTCTCCGCTAACATTCTGATAGTCTTTCCTAGAAAACACTCATGGAGCTTCTGGGGGTGTCAGGAATGGAACTGAACATGAGGGGTCTTATTTAGGACATAATAAAGTGTGGCAAGTTTGCCCTGTACCATTGGCATTGTAGTCAAAGACTAAGCCAAGGCTTCTGTGTACGATACTGTACTTTTATCTTTCTTTTCTTTTTTTAGCTAACTCCTTCCACTAGAGCAGCTCTGTTTTTAATTTGTTGTGTGTGTGTTACAATTAATATTTGATTTGGAAAAAAATGGACTGAATGATATCCAAGTCTGTTTAATTTTTAAAAATTCTATATGCAATTTATATCTTCGTGGCTAGTTTGGTGAACACAAAAGGGGTTAATAAGTTTTGATGGCTAAGAAAATAAAAATTTTGTGAATAATGGCTAACATTTATGGGCTGCCTATAATGTGTTAAATGGTTCAGAATTATTGTGATTTATTCCTCACAATAGCCCTATGAGGTCATTTTGCTATAATCTTTATGGAAAAATAGAAAGTTTGAAACAGTTTGGACAGGGTACATTGCTAGTAGTTGGAACTATGCTATTTTAAAATTATGTTGTAGTCATGTTTGGGTTCTACTCTCAACACATATGTCTACAATTATAGTTCTCCCTTTAGTTCTCCAGCTCCCCTCCATTTGAGTTCATTAATCCACCTGAACCAGAGTGTTGAATAGTCTCAGTGGAAAAAAAAAACAACAACAACATTCAAAATGACTTCCTTAGATCTGTGCTTTGAGGCTGTGTTAAACATTTAACCCATTGAAGGCAGAGAACTAGATGAAATGACCTTATGAAGTTAATTTCTAAGCTTCTTATTCTGTCTTCTCACAGTGATGGCCAAGATGTCTATTGCATCTAGGCCATGTTTCTGAATTAATTGCTGTCTTCGACATACAGGGAACATTTTCCTTCTAGTAACTACCCCTTCCTGCAAACTGAGTAACTTATACTCTCTAGGTCATATCTAAGATATATAAGGAACTTGTGTAATCCAATAGCAAATAAATCAATAATCCAATTTAAAAATGGGCAAAGGACCTGAATAGACATTTCTCAAAGGACAACATATAAATGGCTAACAGGTATATGAGAAGGTACTCAATATTGCTATTCATCAGGGAAACACATATCAAAACCACAGTGAGATAATACCTGTTAAAATGGCTTTTATCAGAAAGACAAACTATAACAATTTCTACAAATAGTGTAGGAATACTTATACTTCTATGTTCATCAAAGCTTTATTCACAATAGCCAAGATTTGGAAACAACCTAAATGTCCATTAACAGATGAATGGAGAAAGAGAGAGACAGAGAGAGAGAGAGAGAGAGAGAGGAAGGGAGGAAGGGAAGGGAAGGAAGAAATGTATATTTCCATACACACACAATGAATATTATTCACCCTTAAAATAAAAAGGAAATCCTGCCACTTTTGGCAACATGGGTGAACCTGGAAGACATTATGCTAGTGAAATAAGCCAGTTACAGAAAGACAAATACTGCATCTTCTCACTTGTACATGGTATCTAAAAATGTCTAATTAATAGAAACAGAGACTTGAGAGTGATTAGTAGGAGTGGGGAGGGAAATATGGAGAGATATTGGTGAAGGGGTACAAAGTTTCAATTATACAAGGTAAGTTATGGAAATCTAATGTACAGCATAGGTTAATAGTACTTTTCATATACTTGAAATTTGCTGAAACGATAGATCCTAAGTGTTTTTACCACACACAAAAAAGGTAACTATGAGAAATGATGGATGAGTTAAATTAGCTTGATTGTGGTGAATATTTCACAGTGTGTAAGTATATATATCAGATCATCAAGACATACAGCTTAAATATGTACAATTTTGAATTTTCAAGTATAACTCAAAAACTAGAAAATAATAAACAGATTTTCACTTTTAACTAAAAAAAATAAATATGTACCCCTTAGGTAGTTTGGGATGGCAGAGCTTGTGTGTGTGTGTGCGCATGTGTGTGCATGTGCGTGTGTATGTGTGAAGAATATTTAACTTGAGATTTACCCTGTTAACACATGTTTAAGGGTACAGTGTGTTGCAGTTTTGACTCATACCGACATGTGGTCAATTCAGTGCTCCTCCTCTGTTGTTTTAATGAAAACTCCTGCCAAGTTGGACCTTCACCCATCCTGTTGTTAGGTGAATCACAGAGTAGGAATTAATACATGTCATTGTTAAATTTCTGGATTGGAGTCCATAATACCGTTCTATTGGTTAGCATTTTTGTTTTGTTTTGTTTTTTACTCAGTGAAATAGCTCCCAGTTTTACATCCCTTAAAATCTGGTAAGTCTCCCCTCTAAACATTCATTCAAATCATTAACAAATCCTGAATAGAACAGGGCCTGGCATCTCTATGTAACACCACCAGAGGTTTCCATCTTCTCTACCATTGATATTCTGTGGCATGATAATCAAATCATGTACAAATACATTTGAATCCTCTTCCTTCCCACTCACATTTCTTAATTTGTCCTGTAAAATAATTATGAGATTCTTTGTCAGACTGGGATTTAAAAATATTCAAATGAGGCTTTTTAAAAATAATAATGCTTCAAATTGAAAGTGTACCCTAGCAAAGCTTACATTTCAGAAGGTGGTTTAAAGAATAGATTAAACTTATGTATTCTTCTTGATAGTTGTGGAGGAACGTATTCAAATTGTAAAGTTCAACCACTGTTTTATACAAATTTATTCCATTTATAAATATGCAGAGTCCAGATCATTTTATAATACCTTTATTTTCTCTTTTATCAATAGTGACACAGTGTTAGAGACTAAAGAATAGAATTTTAAAGATGCTGTTAGACATGGTTTGTCATTATTACTGGTCTTTTACAGCTGTATTTATCAAGAAAAGGTAGCTAAAGTAGGTATTATTGACATTGTCCACATTTACAAGTGGTTATTTCCAAATATTCTCAGTGCTTTATTTTGCTTTATAAGCTACTTGAAAGAGAAGCAAATTAACTTAAGAAATGAGCATTCTTATATATTTACATTTAGGTCCCTATTGACATTATTTTTTCCTTGTGCAAGAGTTAGGTAAAATGCAGCTTTTTTACACAAATAAATAAATGTGTGTGTGTGTGTGGGTGGGTGGGTGGGTGTACATGCAGACATATACATACACACATACTTAAAGATAGGGCCAGTGATTTTTCCATTTCATTGAAGTTTTCAATAGAAAACAACAGAAAAATCTAGATTTTAAATTATTTTATTGACCTATTGTCAATGAACTCTTACATTTTGATTACAGCTGTTTGACCAAGAAAGAGTTGACTATTATTAAATTTATTGTAATGAAATATAAACTATGTGACAAGTCTTATGTACCTCATCTCTAGTCATAATATCTTTAAGGAAAGCAGAATATTTAATTTTAGACAAATTATTGACTTATTAGTTTTCCTCAATGATTAAGCAGATAGTAGCTTCTATTCTAACAATATCTCACAATTATGGTGAGTTTCAAACATGGGTATCACCTGTAAACATACTTTGAAAAATAACAAACATTATACAAACTTGTTAATAAATTCTTTTTATTTTTTTAATCCTTTGTGTAGAGTTTTCTATAAGCACAATAAGATTTTTTTTATAAGCAGCACACTATGATTCTGTTTGAAATTTTCATTAGTTGATTTTATTCTTTTAACCTGCTAATTCTTAGATTATTAAGTGTTCATTCAATAAAATATAGTAGTCCCTGACCGGGTGGCTCAGTTGGTTGGAGCATCAACCCATACACCAAAAGGCTGTGGGTTTGATTCCCAGTTGAAGTACGTATAGGAGGCTCTTACATCAGTGTTTCTCTCTCTCTTTCTCTCCCCCCTCTCTAAAATCAATAAACATTTCCTCGGGTGAGGATAAAAAATATATAAAATA